AAAATCAATTCAACTTTAAATTCGGTTCTTTAGACGGTTGACCAACAGTCAACTTATTTTCTTTCTTTTCAAAACGATTTAGGTGTTAAGGATTCCTCATTAACTCTTTGACCACCGGTCAAACCAATTTAGACTTTCACGAAAGTCAAACCACTTAACATTTATTGCCTATGACGGAGATAGCCTCAATCCGTAATACCGAAGATAGCCTCAATTCGGTGGAGGTAGGATCCCTCGGGCGATAGCGTCAAACCCAAGATCACAGACCCTCGTGCGCACGTCTTAACCTCACTGACCAGGCCCTGCAGCCGCCCGAGCAATGGCCAGTTTCTATGTTGGACATAATAGACCAATTGATCCTAATCACCATTAATTAATTAACTTAATTAATTCATTAAAGTCTTGGATTTAACCATTAGGTCAAACCTACTTCAACAGAGTATACACTCAAAGACCAAGTCAAACAGGACCTAACCCAAGTCAAAGTCAAACCTGTTCAGTCAATTCACAATCCTCAACAATTCAATTCAAATAATCAATTTAATCCAATTAACCAATTTAGCCAAATTATAGCATAAACATATATAACGATCCGAACCATTAAATCTATTCTAAACGCTATTAACTTCATAGTACGGACCTGGATTACGCAGAAATCGAATCAATAGCTCGAACGGAAGGCAGATCAACGAAATCGAACGAACAACGGGTCAAATTGACTCAAAACACAGAATCGAACAATCAATCTGGCGTGGAGATTAATCTGCCGGCGGCATCAATCCGGGGCAGCAGCTGGATGCGGCGACGGTGGCGGACGCCGGCGTACAGTGGCGGGGCGGCAGTAGCTCGCAGAAATCACGAACAGAGGAGCAGCTCTGGTGATAGCCTCTGTCCGGTGGAGTCCCTAGCTACAACAGCGGCGAACCGGCGATGTATTAGTCCGGTGAGTCGCAGCGACCGCCGACGAAGGTGGCGACCCGGCGTGGCGCTGCTCCAGAGATCCAATTGCAGAGGAAATTGCGAGGAAGATGGAGATGGGATGAGGGCTAACCTGGAGTGGCGACGTGGTGTTGGATTGCGCAGCGACTGAGCGAGGTTGACTGGAGGCGATTGGCGGCGCTGCAACTCGACGGAGAGGACGACAGGCACCGGTAGTGGAGGCGACGAACGGCAGCACGAGGATTGGGAATCGTGGTCGGCGGCGCTGATCCTGGCGGTGAGCGGTGGACTTCTGGCGAAGGAGAGGCAGCAGCGACTGGCTGGGGAAGGACGACCGAAAATGAAGAAGAAGAAGATGACGATGAAGATCGTGCGGCTCTCAGATCTGAACGGAAGATATGCCTTATTTAATATTAATAGGTTTAGGTTTTACTTATTAATCCCAATACTAGTGGTTTGGGCTCCGGGCCCAAAATACCTGATTAAACGGCTATAACATGAGCTCCATAACTCCGATTCGCGAGCCGTTTGAACCGACGTGATCACAAAAGGAATTCCTACGAAATGACATAAAAGTTGGGCTTAGAATCCAAATTATAATTTTAACCCTTTTTAGGCCCAATTCGTAATCAATTGCTCTAACGAATTTAATTAATTCTTTTGGGCCAGATTTCGGGGCGTTACATTCTTATATCCATTTTTAATGATGATTTAATCAATAATCATAATAATCAGTAGGTTCATAATTGGCCACAATAATAATTCATCATAATGATCATTCAACATAACATTTAATAACAATTAGCGGCCTAGTGTTGAGTGTTAACACCCGAACTTACCGTCATGCATCACATAAGATTTTAATTTATTAAAAGCATCATTTTTATTGTGAGAAATCATATTTATAATGATCATAATCAATTGGTATGAAAAATAGGATTTTAGAACTCAAAAATAGCATTTTTCGTAGCTGACTGTCTTCGGAACGGTCGACCGTTTCAGGCAACGGTCGACCGTCGTTGCCTCCGTTGTATTGAAGCTACTGGTCCGATAACGGTCGACGTGGTGACGGTACGGTCGACCGTTGTTGCATAACAGCAACAGTACTTTGTCTTCAACCTCGGGTCATATTTTCGAAAAATCATTTTTAGCCACCAAACTTCAATTAAACTATATAGAAATGTTCTCCAATGTTCATAGATCATTTAAATACCATTAATTCGAAGTTTTAACAACAATTTCAAGGTTTATGATTCTTGGTTCTTTAAGCATGTCAAACACAAAACTCAACCAAATGACCATTTATGAACATAGAAACAATCTATACGAATATTCTAATCTTGAGATATATCTACGGGCTTACTTTAATGTTAAACGATAATTCCGGCGAAAAGACGGCAAAACTTCCGGCAACAAAAGCTCTCAACTCCGGCGACCTTTCACTAAATTGATAGCACCAGAGTGTTCTCCATTCTCAAAGCAGCAGAATAGAGGAAAAGATAAGATGTTTTGGTGAAGAATAGAGGGAGTTGGGTGTGGTTATGTAGGAAGGAAGAAGAGGAAGATGCCAAGGTTCACTCCTGTTTGTGCGGACGAGTGGAGTGAACGGCGATTGTGTTGGATTTCAAACGCAAGTCCCTGATTGGGACAAATTTCAGTCCCAGTCGGGGTACACTTTTTTGTCCAACTTTTCCCAAATTGAAATCCGATTGAACTTTTGGGGTCACACAGTCAAACTCTACACAACAATATAATTTTCATTAATTATTGACAAACTTTATAATTCACTTATTTTTGGGGTCCTTCTCAGTAATTAATTAATTATAAATTAATTAATTCTGATAGGCCTATTTTCGTGGCGTTACATGCCCGCATGGCCAGCTAAGGAGGTATCATGATACTCCTTTAATAAAGTTTTGCGGAGGGGAGACTTAACCCCGATGCAGATGTGCCGTTTATAAAATAGGATGCCATCTGCAATTGAATAATGAAAATAAGATGTGCCGTTTATAAAATAAGATGTACCGCGGCTGTACTCCTCATGCCGACGAAGGAAGTCCGGTTGAATCTTGTTGTCTTTCCGGATGGAGTGTTACAAATCTGGGACGGGTTGCGACAGTGTAACCCACGCATGAGCCATCACAGCCGGTTCATCGCAATGGGACAAGGCGTCCGCCACCCGATTCGAGGCGCCCGTTTTATACTCGATATGAAAGTTGTACCCCAACAATTTCGGAATATAGAATTGTTGATCCGGAGTCTGCACAACTTGGTGCCATAGATCTTTGAGGCTGGGTTGGTCAATACGAATGGTAAACGTGCACCCCAACAAGTACTGTCGCCATTTTTTTACTGCCTCAACGATAGCATATAATTCCCGATGGTAAGCCGAGGCCACGGCGCGCTAGACCCCTAATTCTTTACCGAAAAAGGCAAGGGGCAGTTCGTGCTGGAGGAGTACTGCACATATCCCCGTCAAGCTGGCATCGGTCTCCACTACAAATGGGACGTTAAAATCTGGCAGGCGCAATACGGGGGCCGATGTCATGGCGGTTTTCAAAGCTTCAAACGTGGTGGTGGCAGCGGCATTCCAAGTAAACGCGTCCTTCTTCAAAAGGGACGTCAAGGGGGCGGTAATAAGAGAATAATGTTGAACGAACCGCCGGTAGTATCGTGTGAGGCCGAGGAAACCCCTCAGCTGCTTGACCGACTTGAGTTTGGGCCACTTAACCATCACATCAATCTTTGATGGATCAGCCACGAGAGAGCTGGCGGTGATGAGGTTCCCGAGGTATTCAATGGAGGCTTGGTAGAAGGAACACTTTGAGGCCTTGATGTAAAAAGAGTTAGCCTCTAACAAGGCTAACACTGTCTGGAGATGATCGGTGTGGAGGTCCACCGAAAGGCTGTACACTAAAATGTCATCAAAGAAGACGATGGCAAATCGCCGTAAGAATGGTCCAAACAGCTGGTTCATGGAGGCTTGAAATGTGGATGGAGCATTAGTCAGGCCGAACGACATGACAATGAACTCGTAGTGGCCCTCGTGTGTCCGAACGGCGGTTTTGTACACGTCCTTTTCATTGATTCAAATTTGGTGGTAGCCCGCCCGCATGTCTAATTTGGTGAAGCACCGAGCGTGGCCAAGTTCGTCGAATAATTCATCCGCGGTGGGTATAAGAAAATGATCCGGAATTGTCATCGCATTCAAGGCTCGATAGTCCACGCAAAATCTATAGGTGCCATCTTTCTTCTTAACGAGCAAAACCGGGGAGGAGAACGGGCTTCGGGATGGACGGATCAGCCCCTGGGATAACTTTTCGTGCCCCAACCACTCAATCTCATCCTTTTGAAAATGAGGGTAGTGGTAGGGTCAGACGTTCACCGGGGTCGTGCCGGGCTGTAAGAAGATTCGGTGGTCCACGGAGCGCTGGGGAGGTAAGGTCGTGGGTAGTGTGAAGACCCCCGCATGGCTGTCCACCACGGCTTGGATTGTGCCATGTAAGGCCGACAATGGTGATTTCGGAGCATCGGCGTGTTGCACCCCTAGACAGATAATCTCAAAATACTCCAAAGGGACCCTTTCTGTTTGAATAACCTGTAGTGTCTGCAAGGGGATGGATTTTGGTGGTTGGGTGAGCCCCTGCAATGTCACTGTTTTGCCTTCCCATTACAATTCCATTATCAACGACGACTAATCATGCGAGACTTTACCGAGTAATTGGAGCCACTATATGCCGAGCACGACGTTGGGACCATGTATTTGTAGAACATATATATCAACGGAGAACAGTGTCCCTTGTAACGTCAGCTGGACCTTGACGCATTGGGTCTCACATAACAAATAATCCCCATTGCTGACGTACACTCGAAAGGGGTTAACATGTGTGATAGGAAGCTGTAATTTCGAGGCGAAAACCGGGTGGATGAAATTATGTGTGCTTCCTCCATCAATTTGTAAACACTGTGAACCCACTGAACCCAGAGGGTTTCTTTTCTTGAGGCAATATTCCACAGGTTTTTAGAAATGAGTGCTTGATTCCAAACTTCAGAGTTCCTAAGTCCAAGTCCCCCTTCCTCCTTTGGTTTGCAAATATCATCTCAAGCCACTTTGTAGAATTTGTTTCCCTAAAGGAAGGTTCTGCATACATACATCCATACATACATATACTACTCGGTATATAGTTTAATTTGATTTTCATCGCGCAGTTCGAGAGATTTTTCGCTTCTCTTCATCGCATCTCTCCATCTCTACTTCGCCAGGTCCATATGATTGAGATTACGAGAATCTTAAATTGGGATCAGAAGTTTTTGTGACTTCAAAATTAGATTGGTGGCTTATTTTGTGCAATTTGGTGGAGTATTGACGAAACTGGGTTTCTGCGATCTACGAGAGACCAGATTTCGATTTGCGCAGCTGATGCTCTCTCATTGCGGATGATGACCCTCCTGGGCTTCGTCCTGACCATATGGACACATCTACACCAGCTATTCCAATTTCTCTTTCAAATCCAGTGATTTCCCAAAATTCTAATTTGCAGATCCGAAACTTAGAAATGGAGCTGCAATCTGTTGCTCTATTTGTTGAACCTGAGAAATCTACTGGTGGAATTGCTAACTCTACTGTTACGAAAAATACAGTAAGTATTGATAATGGGAATGAGGTTCCAAAAATATCTCCTGACAAAAATATGTCTCAGTCAGAAGCAAAAGCTGCTCCCAACCTTAACAAAAACCAGGTTCAAACCAAAACTAGTGGACAGAATGATAATAGGCCTGTTGGTCTTCCCTCTAGACTCAGTTATGCACAAACTGTTACACCTCAACAGCAAACTAA